GTCTCGAAGATGTTGCAGTGCAGACGGTGTGGTAGCTGGCCACGGCAGCTGTGGTAGTCTCATCTGCTTCATCATAGCCAGCAAGCAAGCTAGCTCAATCTTCACTGTCTCGCAGTCGCCACGCATCAAGCGGGCCAAAAATAGTGCAAAAGGCACAGAAAACAATCGGCTTTACTTATTCGCACTTTGTAGCGGCGCTCAAAAGGCATGGTTTTGCGATAAACACGCACCGCTGCCACCAATGTAGCCAAAAACGGGCACAAGCCCGGCCGGCCCCTGCTCTGCCGACTCTCTCTCTCGTCTCTGGTCAGCTGTCGCTGCCCAAGCGGGAAGCGGGGTGGCGTTGCCCTAGCAACAGTTGCTAGGAGACGGCCGACGGCCTCCTCCCGCGGACGGATGCGGGCGGTGAAACTCAGCCGTCTATATCCGACGCACCATAAAAAAACGACACACTGGTACGGAAAACAAGACACGAAAGCGAGCGCTCACCTAATTAAACACAGCACATCGCGGAAGCGCATGTCCCTAGTCCCACGCATAAAACACCACATACACTGGCACTCCCGCACTTCACTGTCCAGTGCACCGGGGCAACAATCTGATGAGTCACTGTGTCCGTCTCACCGCGGCCAGCCTGACCTGGGTGTGCAGATCAGACGGCGGCAGGCGCGCCCGGAACGCCAGTCCCAGGCGAAAAGCAGCGACGGCATGGCGAGCCGCGTCGGTCCTTGCTGGCGGCCACACAATGCGCAGGCCAGGCTATGGCTCGCGGAGCCACAGCTGAACAGTAGCCGGAGCAACGTGATATCCGGAACATCACTACAGGAGTAACTCGCAACGGCGCGCACTAGTTCGGGCGCAAAAGATCACAACGGTGAACACAGTACCCACCACAAAGCGTGTCGATACCCTACGACAACAGAAACAGAGGTTTGCCTGGTGCAGGTGCTCTTTATCAAATTATCTCTTCTAACCGGCCTGAGAGGATAGGGCAGTGGTGACTAACGGAAGAAGGATAAGTGCGTTCTCAGAAGTCGCAAATCGGCAAGTCAATGGTGCTCTGCATTATCCCCGTTCACAGGGAACCAAGCGATGTCGTCGTGGCCACTCGGACAACACATGGGTGCTACACCAATACCAAACTCGACAACTTCCTTCTGTTTCTGCACAGTCCCAATAAGCCTAACAGCACACCAACTAACGTATGTGGTGTTTTATGCGTGGGACTAGGGACATGCGCTTCCGCGATGTGCTGTGTTTAATTAGGTGAGCGCTCGCTTTCGTGTCTTGTTTTCCGTACCAGTGTGTCGTTTTTTTATGGTGCGTCGGATATAGACGGCTGAGTTTCACCGCCCGCATCCGTCCGCGGGAGGAGGCCGTCGGCCGTCTCCTAGCAACTGTTGCTAGGGCAACGCCACCCCGCTTCCCGCTTGGGCAGCGACAGCTGACCAGAGACGAGAGAGAGAGAGTCGGCAGAGCAGGGGCCGGCCGGGCTTGTGCCTGTTTTGAGTTATTGTTTACCCAATATAGCAAACATGTGATTTTAAATATCGGCTTTCGGACCTAAGACCCAACCACAGTCTACACATTACACATATATCAAAAATAGCGTATTTTTCGAAATTTCAAAAATGCATATTAATATCTCTTTCATTGCAAGTTCAATGTTATATAACATTTGGCATTTGAATAATCCGTCTTAGAGTTACAGCCCGCCAAACTTAGCGCTGCAAAGCAAGATCCAAAAAAATGTTATACACCATAACTCAAAAAATACTTATCTGATAGGTAAGCCTGAAATTGTTACAGGTGGATTCAGAGCCCCTGATTACCCCTGAGACCAATTTTCGTCAAATTCCGAGAGATAAGGGTGTCAAATTGGAAAAAAGTGGTACGATCTATCGTGGGATGCCCCAGGTCTTTCTGAGTCCATTGGTGGGTTTCCGGACTCCGCCACGCCAGCTCAATTTGATCGGGAGCTATTGACGAAAAACTTATATGACCTTATCGACGTCATAAATGACGTCACACAAGGTCAGCAATACAAAAGTGAAGCATCGGATCATGTGCATGAAATCACGATTCTGTGTGCTTGACATAGTTTTGGATCATTGCCGGCGCCAGCCGGTGATGATCCATATTTACATATCGTATCCATATTTTCCCATCGACTTATAATGGTGAGGTCACGTCATGATGAGGACTTGACTCAGGTGACCCTTAGGAAAAATCCACGACATACAAGTTGTGAGACCTCTCATGGATGCTAGGTCCTCTAAGTTCATCTCCCTGTGAAAGCTCCTCGGCCCTTGTGCACTGTGAGAGCGCTGCGAAGTCACGACATTGTGGGGCCTTGCAGAGGTTCACTTATGACTTCATAGGTCAGTGACCTGACTTGACCCGAAAATGCAGTTGCTGTCAAAAGATCCGGCTTGAAGGAAAGGTCAGGTAGGCCATCGCCGGCGTGTTCCGAACTATCGTGATAAACCCATTGGGGTGGGGGCGGCACCCGTCTCCCCCTTCGGCCGGTGAGGATTAGATGGACGACATTGGAAACACATACATTAACCCTCGCCCATGTAGGGGGGGGTTGGTGCAACCCCCCCCCCCCCTGAGGTTTTTCTTAGCTACACGCCGAACCGTTTCAGATAGCCTGCTCAAATTTTCAGTACCCTTTGGGGCATCCTTTGCGCAACTTTTGGTAAAAAATTTTTGTCAAGGTCATGTCAGGTCACGGAGTTATGACGTCATAAAGGGAACAACCTCCGGCAAGATTTACGCTAAATTGGAGATTGCTTCACAATGGTATAAATGCCGACTGACCTGACACACTGATGGATTGTTTTAGAATCATAATTGGCTGATTTGACATTGGCACAATGTCCGTTGACCTTTTCAAGGTTACTTAAGGTCAAGGTCAGGTCAGCGACCTCGGTTGACCTGTAATGACTTCTTGCACTTGTATGCCTTTTCGGGGTATTTTGATGCCCTGAATTCGAATTTGCTATCCATTTCAGGCATCGTCAGTTGTTCCTTGTAGTTCATTTTGGGTCAGGGTCAGGTCAGTGACGTCACACGCCTGACGTGACCCAATGCACAAATGACCTTGCAGACTTCCGATGCTCCCAACGCATCATTTTTAGAGTTATGACATCGAAATACACACCAAACGATAGAGAATTGATTAAGGATCACGATAGTGAAGGTTTCAAGTCGATATCTCTTACTGTTTTGCCGCAATCGGCGCGGAAATCTGAAAAAGTTAGATTTTTCCGAAAATTTGACCTTTGACCGGTCATAAGTAGGTCAAATGTTGACCTAGGACCAAAAAATATACCACCAATCGCGAGATCTCGTTGAGAGCAATCCGTTGGTCTTTTCCGCTAAGCTCTACGACGCTCCGTTTTCAAACGCCAGGGGGGTCGCACCAACCCCCCCCCCCCTGCATGGGCGAAGGTGGCAAAACACCGTTTACGGGCGAGGGTTAAGGCAATAACATAAAAATCCAATACATTGGTAGATCTGAGTAGGTCAATCAGAAAGAACTTTAATAGGGCTATCAAATGCGCTTTTCCGCGGCGCTGTAGCTTTATTAGTTTCTGAGCTGTGCGAAATTGTCGACATCTGACCTACAAATCGGCGAATTTGGCCTTCAATGACCTCTCTTGACCTGATCTTTGACCTGACCAAAAAAGTGACTGGAGTGATTTCTTCCTTATTTTGACGCTCTTTCGAACGCCGCCTTTCCCGTATCGCTATGTGGCCCAGGAGCCGAGTTAGAAGGGGGTGTTCAAACACCACCCCCCCCCCCCCCAGCAGGGCATGGAAATCCAGGACCCCCTGCCGGGCGCGGGTTAATGATTGGTGCTAGATTTTGTCCGATTATAGTGTATGCGCTCATTACTTCAGCGGTGACCTATACTTTATCCGACTCAGGGATGGATCCATACCATCAAGTTGTTTATGTTCATCTCGCAGTATAAAATGATAAATGATGAATGAAGCACTCAGTGGCGCGGGAACATCTTCTAGACTGGGGGGGGGGGGGGGGGGGCTGAACTATAATAGAGATCAACCTAGGGTACCCCCAAATCTAGTTTTATCACCGGTTTCAGGTCACTTTTTCAGACCTTGGCCTTAAAAAAAATGCAAAAAAGTGAGGTATTCCGTCTCAGCTGATTGAAGAAACTACCGTTTTGGCAACCTGGAATAAAAGTTTCAATCTGCCAAATGAGTTGCCAAGACAGTGAAAGAGGAGGATTTTTCACTTACATGCATTATTCCGTTATATTGTGACCCACGACCCCTAATTTGGGGAGGACAAGCTGCCCAACGGTTCCTGGCCTCATGAAAAGTTGTGGGGCACCGCCCCCACGGCCGCAGAGTTGTAGGGGCAAGCTTCCCCACTGCCCCCTCCCCCGGTTCCCGTATGAATCTATGAAATTATGTTGGTAGATTTCCGATTTCGATTCCTCCAGCTGGGGGGGGGGGGGCTGGAATACATTACGAGAGCCCCACAGCCGAAAAGCTGGAGGGGCTCAGCCCCCGCTAGCTCCCCCCCCCCCGTTTCCCGCGCCACTATTTGAGTCCGACTCAAGCACTTAGCCCTTGCTTATTGTGTTGACATGTTTTGCATATTGATAATTGAAATAGGTTGGAACTTTTACTTATTTAGGATTTGCACTTTTCGACTAGTTGTCCGACTTTGTTCGATATGTTGCGTCCAACGTCTGTCCATAGACCTCTGCTGTACAGATGTGAGAGGTCTACGGGTTTGTTATTTGTCCGTCCGATTTCCGAGTCGGAGATAGGACATTTTCGGAACTCCTTTTTCGGTTTCGATTGGCACTACTAGCCGGTACCTTCTGCTACCAGCCGGGCGAGCCAGGTACTTAATGCCACGCGTTGGTACGAGGGCTGCTCAGTGCTCAGCCTTCCGATGCCATCTTCCCGCGTTGTGCACTGTATGATCTGTACCTCTGTCTGCGTCGTTTCAGGCTGGCCTGTCTGTCGGAGATATGATCCTGTCCGTGAATAGTGAGGATCTGGTAGGGGCCGACTACGACACAGTAAGTGTGAACCGGGCGATAATTTAAAAATTGAAGAAAAAAACAGAATATCTTGTGAGAAGGCTTTTGCTAATACCGTTTACGGGGTGACCATGGTGTGTCAGAAGTGGAAATAGCCGCACGGCCTTAGTTCTCAAGCCTTGTCAATAGATGGCAGCACAGCAATATGAGTGGCGGATCATGCAATTGACGTCAAATTTTCGGTACCTGCTAAGAATTGAATGGCGGATCTTGTCATGCAAGAATCAAGTGAATCGGTCCACAACTTTTCTTACAACGGGTATAAAGTCAAACACCGTGCCAGAGCGGCGGCCGGCGGCGGCCGTTACACGCCGCCTGGGAGACTGCCGGCGCGGGACGGTTCCGACTTTACATTGCACCAGGGGGGGGGGGGTGCGCTCCGGGCTTATAACATTACGAAAAGTGGAGACACTTTTGCTAGCGCTGTCAGCACCGTGAGCATTCTAAACAACAAATGCAGTAATCCCACCAATCAGCGTACGGCAATACCAGACGCTCATTGGCTGCTAAGCTAGTGACGATTTTGGGGGCCAGAGCGTTAGAGGTAACCTATAGCAGCACGCAGTGGCGAAGACAGGGGGGGGGCATGGGGGCCATGGCCCCCCCTTTCCGCCCAGCCGCCCAAATGGCGCCCCAATTAGCGCCGACTAGGCTGATGCCGTTTTATAGAGAGAACATGAATTAAAAAGTGGTGTGCAGGCAGGGATCGAACTCAATATCTCTTTGGGGGTCCCTTGACACCTAAATGTTCTCCAGGGCACCCCCAAATACGATCTGAGCCCCCAAATGTTGAAGGGCGCCCCTCCGGAAACCAGAATATTCCGAAACCCCAGGGTCGATGGCGCCCCTGAAGAGCCACTGGCACCCACCTGAACGGAACACTCGCCCCATTAAAGCTTGATGGCGCCCCTCTAGAGCACCCGGCGCCCTTCTGAAGTTCACAGCCATGCCCCATTCGGCCCCATCCAAGATCGATGGCGCCCCTGAAACCACTGGCGCCCCTCTAAAGCACCCGCACTCTTCTCAAGATCATAGTCGCCCTATCCGAGATCAATAGCGCCCTCAAGAGCCACTAGCGCCGCCCCCCTCCCCCTGAGACTGAAGTCGTCCCGCTTCAGACTAAAGTCGCCCCATTCAAGCCCAATGACGCCCCTCCAGAGCGTCCGACGCGCTTCTGAAGATCACAGTTGTCCTCATCCGAGGTCGCTGGCGCCCCTCAAAAGTCACTGGCGCACATCTAAACAGAGATTACAACTGCACCATCTTAAGATCGATGGCAACCCTCTGAAACCAATGGCGCCCTTCTAGAGTACCCGGCATCCCTCTGAAAATCACATTCGCCCCATCCGAGACAACGCCCCTTGAGACTACAGTCGCGCCACCCAAGCTCAAGGCGCCCTGCTGAAGGCATCAGTGGCCCCATCTATGCCCAATGGCGCCCCTCAACGCCGTTCTAAAGATCACAGTCGCCCCATCAATCCGAGGTCGTTGACTCGCTGGCGCCCCTCAAGAGCCACTGGCGCCCACCTGAACCGGGACTTCAGTAGGCCCATCCTTGATCAATGGCGCCCCTATGAGAGAGAGAGAGAGAGAGAGAGAGAGAGAGAGAGAGAGAGAGAGAGAGAGAGAGAGAGAGAGAGAGAGAGAGAGAGAGAGAGAGAGTGAGAGTGAGAGTGAGAGTGAGAGTGAGAGTGAGAGTGAGAGTGAGAGTGAGAGAGAGAGAGAGAGAGAGAGAGAGAGAGAGAGAGAGAGAGAGAGTGAGAGAGAGAGAGAGAGAGAGAGTGAGAGTGAGAGTGAGAGTGAGAGTGAGAGTGAGAGTGAGAGTGAGAGTGAGAGTGAGAGTGAGAGTGAGAGTGAGAGTGAGAGTGAGAGTGAGAGTGAGAGTGAGAGTGAGAGTGAGAGTGAGAGTGAGAGTGAGAGTGAGAGTGAGAGTGAGAGTGAGAGTGAGAGTGAGAGTGAGAGTGAGAGTGAGAGTGAGAGTGAGAGTGAGAGTGAGAGTGAGAGTGAGAGTGAGAGTGAGAGTGAGAGTGAGAGTGAGAGTGAGAGTGAGAGTGAGAGTGTGAGAGAGAGAGAGTGAGAGTGAGAGTGAGAGTGAGAGTGAGTGAGAGTGAGAGTGCTAATACCGTTTACGGGGTGACCATGGTGTGTCAGAAGTGGAAATAGCCGCACGGCCTTAGTTCTCAAGCCTTGTCAATAGATGGCAGCACAGCAATATGAGTGGCGGATCATGCAATTGACGTCAAATTTTCGGTACCTGCTAAGAATTGAATGGCGGATCTTGTCATGCAAGAATCAAGTGAATCGGTCCACAACTTTTCTTACAACGGGTATAAAGTCAAACACCGTGCCAGAGCGGCGGCCGGCGGCGGCCGTTACACGCCGCCTGGGAGACTGCCGGCGCGGGACGGTTCCGACTTTACATTGCACCAGGGGGGGGGGATGTGCGCTCCGGGCTTATAACATTACGAAAAGTGGAGACACTTTTGCTAGCGCTGTCAGCACCGTGAGCATTCTAAACAACAAATGCAGTAATCCCACCAATCAGCGTACGGCAATACCAGACGCTCATTGGCTGCTAAGCTAGTGACGATTTTGGGGGCCAGAGCGTTAGAGGTAACCTATAGCAGCACGCAGTGGCGAAGACAGGGGGGGGGGGGCATGGGGGCCATGGCCCCCCCTTTCCGCCCAGCCGCCCAAATGGCGCCCCAATTAGCGCCGACTAGGCTGATGCCGTTTTATAGAGAGAACATGAATTAAAAAGTGGTGTGCAGGCAGGGATCGAACTCAATATCTCTTTGGGGGTCCCTTGACACCTAAATGTTCTCCAGGGCACCCCCAAATACGATCTGAGCCCCCAAATGTTGAAGGGCGCCCCTCCGGAAACCAGAATATTCCGAAACCCCAGGGTCGATGGCGCCCCTGAAGAGCCACTGGCACCCACCTGAACGGAACACTCGCCCCATTAAAGCTTGATGGCGCCCCTCTAGAGCACCCGGCGCCCTTCTGAAGTTCACAGCCATGCCCCATTCGGCCCCATCCAAGATCGATGGCGCCCCTGAAACCACTGGCGCCCCTCTAAAGCACCCGCACTCTTCTCAAGATCACAGTCGCCCTATCCGAGATCAATAGCGCCCTCAAGAGCCACTAGCGCCGCCCCCCTCCCCCTGAGACTGAAGTCGTCCCGCTTCAGACTAAAGTCGCCCCATTCAAGCCCAATGACGCCCCTCCAGAGCGTCCGACGCGCTTCTGAAGATCACAGTTGTCCTCATCCGAGGTCGCTGGCGCCCCTCAAAAGTCACTGGCGCACATCTAAACAGAGATTACAACTGCACCATCTTAAGATCGATGGCAACCCTCTGAAACCAATGGCGCCCTTCTAGAGTACCCGGCATCCCTCTGAAAATCACATTCGCCCCATCCGAGACAACGCCCCTTGAGACTACAGTCGCGCCACCCAAGCTCAAGGCGCCCTGCTGAAGGCATCAGTGGCCCCATCTATGCCCAATGGCGCCCCTCAACGCCGTTCTAAAGATCACAGTCGCCCCATCAATCCGAGGTCGTTGACTCGCTGGCGCCCCTCAAGAGCCACTGGCGCCCACCTGAACCGGGACTTCAGTAGGCCCATCCTTGATCAATGGCGCCCCTATGAGAGAGAGAGAGAGAGAGAGAGAGAGAGAGAGAGAGAGAGAGAGAGAGAGAGAGAGAGAGAGAGTGAGAGTGAGAGTGAGAGTGAGAGAGAGAGAGAGAGAGAGAGAGAGTGAGAGAGAGAGAGAGAGAGAGAGTGAGAGTGAGAGTGAGTGAGAGTGAGAGTGAGAGTGAGAGTGAGAGTGAGAGTGAGTGAGAGTGAGAGTGAGAGTGAGAGTGAGAGTGAGTGAGAGTGAGAATGAGAGTGAGAATGAGAGTGAGTGAGAGTGAGTGAGAGTGAGTGAGAGTGAGTGAGAGTGAGTGAGAGTGAGTGAGAGTGAGTGAGAGTGAGTGAGAGTGAGTGAGAGTGAGTGAGAGTGAGTGAGAGTGAGTGAGAGTGAGTGAGAGTGAGTGAGAGTGAGTGAGAGTGAGTGAGAGTGAGTGAGAGTGAGTGAGAGAGAGTGAGAGAGAGTGAGTGAGAGTGAGTGAGAGTGAGTGAGAGTGAGTGAGAGTGAGTGAGAGTGAGTGAGAGTGAGTGAGAGTGAGTGAGAGTGAGTGAGAGTGAGTGAGAGTGAGTGAGAGTGAGTGAGAGTGAGTGAGAGTGAGTGAGAGTGAGTGAGAGTGAGTGAGAGTGAGTGAGAGTGAGTGAGAGTGAGTGAGAGTGAGTGAGAGTGAGTGAGAGTGAGTGAGAGTGAGTGAGAGTGAGTGAGAGTGAGTGAGAGTGAGTGAGAGTGAGTGAGAGTGAGTGAGAGTGAGTGAGAGTGAGTGAGAGTGAGTGAGAGTGAGTGAGAGTGAGTGAGAGTGAGTGAGAGTGAGTGAGAGTGAGTGAGAGTGAGTGAGAGTGAGTGAGAGTGAGTGAGAGTGTGAGAGTGTGAGAGTGTGAGAGTGTGAGAGTGTGAGAGTGTGTGAGAGAGAGAGAGATTAGCCTTTTTAGAAAACGGTCGGTATAGGTATTAACCCGCGCCCTGCTGGGGGTCCTGGATTTCCACGCCCTGCTGGGGGGGGGGTGTTTGAACACCCCCCTTCTAACTCGGCTCCTGGGCCACGTAGCGATACGCGGAAGGCGGCGTTCGAAAGAGCGTCAAAAATAATGACGAAATCACCTCGGTCAATTTTTTGGTCAGGTCAAAGGTCAGGTCACCAGAGGTCATTGAAGGCAAAATTTCGCCGATTTCCAGGTCGAATGTCGAAAATTTCCAAGAAGCCAACGCATAACTCGGGAACCAATAAAGCTACAGCGCCGCGGAAAAGCGCATTCGATAGCCCTATTAACGCCCTTTCTGAGTAATTCTCTCAGATTTGACCTAACGTCAACGGTTTTGCCTGCAAGGGGCAAAAACTGCAAAAATAGCCGA